ATCGTTGCATGCACACGGACATCTCCAATCACGCATAATCATTCATTGAGAGACAGATAAACAACTTGATCATTATTTCTATTCATTACGATAAAACAACTGAATGAGGATATGTCTCATTATCTCGTAACGAAGAGTCTTGGTTGAAATAATCTAAATCAAAGTGCATACACAAGCATATTGGCAATATGGCGATAAGCAGTTTTGCTAACAATAGAGAACATCATTACAAGATCATATTTTGATCAAATACAAACATACATGCATAATGTTAAAATAAAATTTCGTCTATATACCAGCAACCTAGCAACAACCTGACAGTATTTTATGATAAAATAAGTTCTCGATTAATAATATAACACCAGTACTGTGATAGCATACACACGTGCATAATTATGCTACTAGAAAAAGTAGAGAAGATAATAATATATGTACTTACCAAATACGAAGCGAAAAGGGAACTGAAGAAAACGCGCGAATTCGGGGGTCCAGCAGTATCTTGATCGCTCCATTGTCCCTATTCATACAATTCAATCTATTATCATGACTTCAAAGGCTTTCACATACTTGGCGTTTAAACATGTTAATCGTTTCTAAGCTGTGAGACTGAACTCGTATATATTCATTATTGGTCTATATCAATTAACGACACTCTTCTCATAATGTGCATCGTCACCAGTCTCGTCCATAGTTTGGAAGAACTATTGGTTGTTAACCATCGGAGCATGTAGTCATGGTAATACAATTCGCCAACCATGTGACGACGAGAAGTGAAGATGGGTGAATTCCCTGTTCATAACTAAGCCAAAGTCAGAGCATATATTGATAGAACGGGTGAATGTCGTTCATAATTATGAACATTGCATAATGAAAGAATGGAAGCGCTTTAATACGTTCCTTAATAAAACAAAACTTTAAATTCGAGCGAGCGTAAAGAGCGAGTTTTAGATGAAATTTGAGAAAAAATTGCTTTCAGTCGCTTTAAATTGGGGGCTCTGAGGCTCTGAGGAATCCATTGTTTTGGGGATGATGATGAATTATATAAACATCTTTTCATAGCATTAACGGTTATTGTGTCTCTTAATGTTTTAATGTGAATGAGATTTGGCAATGTTAATGCTGTTGCCGTCGAACACACCTTCATTGTCTAAACCTGTATATTCTTTAACAAAGGGCACTTAGTGACCTTGCCATTCTGTGAAATTCAAAGGTCATGGGGTTTAAGGTATAATAGGTTCAAATATGCTTCTTTTATAGCAGATGAGTAGATTAGCCTACCCAGGCGCGCCGGAAGCACTTTGGGATTGGGAGGTGGGGGGCCGGGGGGCAAACATTACATTGGGCTCGCCTTTCAGGGGCAGTGGCGTAATGAGCAAAAGAGTTGGGGGCAGAAAAATCTGTACCACCACTCTTACATGTTAAATGCAGGCCCCGTGGCAGTGGAACGTTTTTAAAAAGCAACGATCAGGAAAAGCATATATTCGATGTTAGTGTCGTCAATCCCTGGCTGGGAGATGGTGACCTGTGAATGATGAACCTACCGGGCCCTGCCCCTTAAACTGTATAGGTGAACGGCACGCCCAGTCAGATTTTTTAATTTTAATTATTTGCATTGCTTAGTCGATGTTAGTGTTGTTAATTCCTGGCTGGGAGATAGTGGCCTGTGAATGATGAACTTACCGGGCCCTGCCCCTTAAACTCTAGGTCAACGGCACGCCCAGTCAGATTTGATTTGAATTGAATTGAATTTAAATTTAAATTTGTTTTTATTTGTATTGCTTAGTCGATGTTAGTGTTGTTAATTCCTGGCTATTTTAAGGCTTGGAGATGGTGACCTGTGAATGATTAACCTACCGGGCCCTAGTGAAAGGCACGCCCACTCCGATTTTTTTTAAATAATTATTTGTATAGCTTAGTCGATGATAGTGTTGTTAATCACTGGCTGTAAATTAAGAACTTACCGGGCCCTGCCCCTTGAACTGTAGGTGGACGGCACACCCAGTCAGATTTCTAATTTTTTTTTTAATTTGTATTGCTTAGTCGATGTTAGTGTTGTTAATTCCTGGCTATTTTAAGGCTTGGAGATGGTGACCTGTGAATGATTAACCTACCGGGCCCTAGTGAAAGGCACGCCCACTCCGATTTTTTTTAAATAATTATTTGTATAGCTTAGTCGATGATAGTGTTGTTAATCACTGGCTGTAAATTAAGAACTTACCGGGCCCTGCCCCTTGAACTGTAGGTGGACGGCACACCCAGTCAGATTTCTAATTTTTTTTTTAATTTGTATTGCTTAGTCGATGTTAGTGTTGTTAATTCCTGGCTATTTTAAGGCTTGGAGATGGTGACCTGTGAATGATTAACCTACCGGGCCCTAGTGAAAGGCACGCCCACTCCGATTTTTTTTAAATAATTATTTGTATAGCTTAGTCGATGATAGTGTTGTTAATCACTGGCTGTAAATTAAGAACTTACCGGGCCCTGCCCCTTGAACTGTAGGTGGACGGCACACCCAGTCAGATTTCTAATTTTTTTTTTAATTTGTATTGCTTAGTCGATGTTAGTGTTGTTAATTCCTGGCTATTTTAAGGCTTGGAGATGGTGACCTGTGAATGATTAACCTACCGGGCCCTAGTGAAAGGCACGCCCACTCCGATTTTTTTTAAATAATTATTTGTATAGCTTAGTCGATGATAGTGTTGTTAATCACTGGCTGTAAATTAAGAACTTACCGGGCCCTGCCCCTTGAACTGTAGGTGAACGGCACACCTAGTCAGATTTCTATTTTTTTAAATTTGTATTGCTTAGTCGATGTTAGTGTTGTTAATTCCTGGCTGAGAAAATCTGTATTCCGTTAGATCACAGTGATACCAACGGAATACAGATTTCCTACAATATTTACTTGTACATTTAGGAAGATATTATGCGAGGGAGCGTAGCAACCGAGCAAAAAGTTTTTTCGCATTTGTATTAGTCTAAACGCTGCACTCTTAGGCCCTCCAGAGCCTAAAAGTGTGAAAGTCTTTAGTCAGTATTTGCTATACATTTTTAGTGCACTTTTCTAATTTTCCGGTGGGGCGACGATCCCCCCTAAATCCCGCCCATACCCCCTAGGAAATCATTTGTTGGACATCAAATCTCTTTCGCATACACTCTCTCTCTCAAGGATACTTTTATGGAACAAAGGCTTGTCTTGGGAATTACTAATTCTATCTTAACGGATGTGGTCTAGGGGCCCGCCTTAGGAGCCCCGATGGGTTGCCAGGGCAGAGCTTCCCATTTTTTTTTTTTTTTTTTTTTTTTTGGGGGGGGGGGGGGGGGGTCCAGGGGTGGAACCACCTCACGCACTAGAGTTTTGTTTTTGATTGAAAATCAAGATGGCCGTCACGAACGATAGAAATGGTAATTTCTCCTTGAAATTCACACGACCTCTATCATTTCATTTTGTTAAAATAAACTTTATTTCAAATTCATAGTACAAACTCAGTGGCGGATCCAGGAATTTCTAACGGGGGGGAGGCACAAAATCGCATGGGGTGAAATATATGTAAAACGATGGAGCGAGGCGTCAGCGGGGAGGGAGCGGAGCGACCAAGCAGGGGTGGGTCTGGGAAAACCGCATTAGGCGCATTTTCAGGCGAAGCGCAGAAGCTATGACGTTCATTTAATTAAAAGAGAAAGAAGACGATTTCTTGAACCGTTCTCTACTCTTAATCCTTGTCTGAATTCAGTTTCCCCCTCCCGCGCGATGCGCAAAAGCTTTGATGTTAAATTAAATTATTACTCTTAATCCTTGTCTGAATTCAGTTTCTCCCCTCCCGCGCGTAGCAGCTTTTACGTTTCATTAAATTATTAGAGAGAAAGAAGACGATTCGTTGCACCGTTCTCTACTCTGTTAATCTTCGTCTGAATTTAGTTTTTCCCCTCCCGCGCGAAGCGCGGAAGCTGTGACGTTTCATTAAATTATTAGAGAAAGAAGACGATTTGTTGCACTGTTTTCGTTTCTTAATCCTTGTCTGAATTCAGTTTAACCTCTCGAGCCCGTAGCGTGGAAGCTTTGACGTTTCATTTAATTATTCGAGAAAGAAGACGATTCGTTATACCGACTCTTAGTCATTGTCTAAATTCTCAAAAATGTTTCTTTGTCCGATAAAAAGTCTCAGTTAGTAGGGAAAGAAAATTTGCCGGCCGACCGACATAATCCATCTCACCGACTTCAAACTTCTGCATTGATATAGTACACGAGGATCGAGTAATTCTCCCTTTCTTTCTTTTCTTTCTTCTCCTTTCCCTCTCTCCTTCCTCTTTTTCTTTTTTCTCTTTCTTTCTTCTCTTCTCTTTCCTTTCTTTCATTTCTTTTTCTTTTATTCTTTTCTTTTCTTTCCCTTTCCTTCTCATTTTTCCCCACAGCAGAGCAATTTTACGGACAATATCCTAACAGGTGAGCGTGCGTGTTCCATCCCCAACACCCCCCTTTAGCGACGCCCCCTGGTTGTTATCACATTATTCCTTTAAAAGAAAGGCAATTCCTCATGCTTTCGCACCTTTCTTCTATCGTTATTTAATTCTCTTTTATTTTTCCCGTTCTCCTTTAACTAAGAAAAATTCTCTCTTTTCCCCCTTTTTCCAACTTTTTCTTTAGTTCATCTGACAAGAGGGACCTTATATTATGCACACTGAAAAATTCCGATGGTAAAAAAAAAAGCAATTTGTTGTTACGCACGGTGTTTTATGTTGCTTAGCTCATTGAAGTAAATTGCACTTTATCTTGAGTAATTGTTCTACTATCAATTAGACATTGTACTACGATATTTAATTGCAAAATAGCGATATCGACAGACAGTTTGGGAAAACCGAACCGCGTGAGAGAGGGAGAGAGAGAGAGAGAGAGAGAGAGAGAGAGAGAGATAATGAAAGAGGCGGGAGTGGGAGTGTTGGCAGACTGCAGATATCATTTAAAGTTTGATAGCACCCATTTCCCCCCAAAACTAAACCTGATATCGGATCATAAATAGTTCGTGATACAAAACAATAGACCAGGTAGTTTAATCGGAAGGAGTGTAAACAAAGTTGAGTTTTGAACCGTCAGATAGTTACGTTGCTGTTAATTGTAACTGAAAGGATTAGTATCATGATGAAGTACAAATTCTTGACTATAATATGCTCGTTTCTTCTAATGTGCCATCTAGTAGCTGCTCGGGTAAGACTTTTGACTTTTTAGAACTGTTATATTTTTGTTTTCAACCTTGAAATTGCTAGGTCTCTAAACTGATTGTCACTTTAGCTGCAAAACTTTACCCGAACGAAGAATTGCTGTTAGTAGTATCCCACCAATATAATTTAGAATAAAGCTATCCAAAGCGAGTTTTTAGCTTTTAAGTTTTAAACAGAGATACATTTTGAAATGGATTGGAATAAAAGATGGAAATTAGAAGGTATGACAATTTGACAAATGCATTACATAAATACCAACAGTTTGCTTTTCAAATACTGTGTAATTTGAATAAATTTGATATATTGATTGCTGCTTTAAGCAGTTTAAAAATGTTGAATAATCAGTAGGGAACTTAATCTTTTGCATTTTAAAAAAATTTTAACTTCAGATAGTATTGATCTTATTACAATAAGAACAAAACAAGGAATGCAATCTGTGCTCTAGTACGGTACATGTACATGCATTATAATAATCTGGTTATACAGGCAGACACTGTTAAATACGGAAAAACTTTGGGCAAGCATTTAAAAGAGACATTCGGGGAAAAAAATTAAATGAATTCCATCTGATTTTGTATGCGTTTATAGTAAAATAGTGTACACTTTAAGTCTTCATATTGTAAATAGGCCTATACTAATACCATTGTATAAATAATTCAAACATACATGGAGTGTGTATTTATTTGAATTATATGATTTTGTCGTGTATATATTTCATGGCAACAAAACATTGTTTCAACATCAGCACAAACCCAAACTATTGTTTCTAAAGGATTCAATGATTTTTCCTAACGATTGTTTTAATGTCATAAATGATGGTGTATTGAATGTTTCCGTGTATTCATTATTTCTATCTCTGCATGTATTTTAACAGCAAAAGGTGATCTTGTTACTAGCTGATGGTCTGAGATGGGACCGTTTTTCAGAGGACCTCCCGAGTCTGATGAGGGTTGAAGAAAATGGCGTCAGGGCTGAGTGGATGGATGGTGTGTTTGTCACACTCTCTTGCCCTTCAATGTACTCAATCGCAACAGGTATAGAAGAAGTATAGTAGTAATATTAGGAGTAGGAGTAGTACACAGTTAAAATTTTAGTGAACATGTTGTTTAAAAGTTTAAACAACTTTGGATTAACGGGTGACCTGATCTAAGAGTTGTTTAAAATGTTAAGCAACTCGAGTTGTTTAAAGTTTAAACACTTAGTTGATCAACATTTTGAACAACTTGTTTAAAATCACAATTTAAACAACCGGTGTTGTTTAAAGACGGTTGTTTAAAACGGAGCTGTTGTTCAGTGGGGGTTGTTTACACCAATTGGGTTGTTTAAAGAAAGTTGTTTAAAAAGGAGCTGTTGTTCAATGGGGGTTGTTTACACCAACTGGGTTGTTTAAAAAGGAGCTGTTGTTAAATAATAATAATATTGAATACTTATAAAGCGCACGTATCGACCTTGCAAGGTCCTCAAGGCGCTCCAACATTACCCGGTTATGCTAGGCTGTCAAAGGACATTAGTGCCGCGGCGGGACTCGAACCGTGGACCTTGTGATCGACAGTCTGGCGACGTTTCCACTTATCCACGACACCTCTACAGCTAAGGTCGGCCATGATGTGAAACAAAGCTTTTAGCCAACGCGCACTTTACTGGCACGTGACACATGACGTCATATGTAAACAACACTGTCTAAAAGCTCTCGTATAGTAAATATAACAGTCATTAAATTTTAAACAGCTAATGTTTAACAAAATTACTTTCGTTTCGAGCAACATTGTTTACAATTTGTTCAACTGTTGTTTAAGATAGTGTACAACTGTAAGTGAACATCACTTTTTTAAGCAGCGTTTTTACTGTGTAGTAGTATAGTAGTAAAAAAGTGGTATTTGAATAGTTTTAGTGTTTGAATAGCAAACGGTTTATGGTGAATAAATTACCACTCAGCTCTGATAAGTGCCCCTTTACTTTAAAAGGTGCCTCTTAACTTTAACAGGTGCCCCTCAACTTTTTTAAATGGCCATCCTTTTCCATTTTGATAAGTTCTCCTTCTAATATGCCCCTTTTCACCCCTGCTAAGAGTCCCTTTCTAATTGTGTTTGTAAAGATCTCCCCGTCAAATTGGATGAAATTGCGCTCCCAGGTTGAAAAACAGTTCAAGCAGTAGGCAACTGGTCAACTGGTACCAGCTAAGACCAGTAGTCAACTGGTACCAGTTGGAAACAGTATATTCAACTGATTTTAAATATAGAAATTGAAACACCGCTAACTGAGACCAGTTGAAAAACCAGTTGATATTTCCAGTTGATTTACCAGTTGAAAACCAGTAGATTGATATACCAGTTGATATTTCAAGTTGAATTACCAGTTGAAAACCAGTTGAAAGCCAGTTGACATCTGAGACCAGCTGATATTTCCAGTTGATTGACCAGTTGAAAACCAGTAGATTTAACAGTTGAAAACCAGTAGAAACCAGTAATCAACTGATAATCTATAATCAATATTGGCATCTGGCCATCAATTAGACCATAGTTATTTAGATTCATTTGAAGTGGTTTACAAATGATAATAAAAGTTCGTACTTAGACAAATACAAAATTATACAAGTTGTTTCCTGGAAGTATTAATCACATATATCAATACATCTATTTTCAGGTCTTAAATTAGATGTAAAACATGATCAGCCATGTATAATATATTTCTCAATGATTGACTAAGAAAATATAAATCACAAAATTGATGTGCATTGTAACATTTTGCTTGACAGATCATGATAATTATATTTCTGTGAAAACATGCAAATCAAACATTATTAAGAACAAGTTGAATATACTGATTTCAACTGGTACCAGTTGACCAGTTGGATACTGGTTTCAACTGGTACCAGATGAAACCAGTAATCTACTGGTCCCAGTTAAACTTGTATTCTACTGATTTCCAACTGGTACCAGTGGAGATGCAGTAGTCTACTGGTCCTAGTAACAACTGTTATTCTATTTGTCCGACTTCAAACTGATATTTCTACTGGTTTTAACTGATACCAGTAGAGACCAGTTCAAACCAGTAGATAACAGTTGGAAATCCTTACTGGTTTCAACTGGTATCAACTGGACTATCAACATGGCATGCTCCTTTTTCCAAAAAGTGCCCTTCTTTGCCGATTCACCCCCACTTGATAAACATTCCACCGCCCCTGGGTTATTGTTGCATTTGTAGTAGCTAACCAATAGTTTTATTATAATCTTTCTAAGTACTTGTCTTGTAGTACCTATCTACTAATGCTTGATATATACTTCAGTACCTAACAAAGCTAGTTTTCCTAACACACACAGGTCTCTACCCTGAGAACCACGGCGCCATTCACAACCTCTATTTCGACCCAGTTACCAGAGAACGCACGTATAACTACTACGCTACTCTCGACAAGGCCGAGTGGTTTGATACCGGGGCCGAACCGGTCTGGGTGACCGCTATCATGCAAGGTCTAAATGCAGCTACTATCATGTACCCTGGTGGACAGGTTCCAATTAAAGGTAGAAATATTATCATTTCCGCCAACATTGAACTGTAGATATTCTTGTTCTATAACATATTTCTTTCCTAAAGATCAACAGTCATATTTACACTAGTACAAGGATTGTTAGTTTCTTACTCGATCTCGATGTAGATTACATTCCTATTATCATCAATGTATGTTATCTTAATTTTCAAAGAATGTTTTATTGAACAATACTGCTGGAGTTCACTTTAATCGCAACTTTCCTGAACATGTTAATAAAACCATTACCACAATGGCAATTTTCGACGACAACCTTAGTTGAAAATATATAAAAACAACAAGGTTTCAATCATATTACAGGTCCTTTTTTTTCTTCAAAAGTGAATGTTATTATTACATTTTTTACGAACAAGGTGCCAAATTATTAATCTAAAATGTGATTTTTTTAAAAAAAATCATATTGTTTTGTTCATTGTTGAACGAGAACTACATGTATAATTAGAGTCCTACTCTAAATTTCATTGATAAACACTGAAGTCACTTGTCAAGACGTTAATCCCATTTTGCTATATCTCCATCCAAGTGTAGATGGGAACCTTGCAATGCTTGGAAAATAATGATTTCAGGGACCGCAGGGAAAGCAGTATTAATTCTAGTCCAAAATCTGGCCAATTTTTAAAAAAATAACCTCCACCCCTGCGATCTCCCCCTATTTGCTGCAGACCAGTTAGTTGATGTGATCCCCGAATTTCTATACCCAGCGAAAAAATCCCGGCGTACAAGTTCGTTGATAACGCCATCTTCGGTGGCTTGAAGCAAGTGTCGAGAACATGATATAATGATAAAATACAACGTATGAAACCGAGCAGATTATGGACTATATTAACACTGAAATGGCTACCCTGGCTAAATAAGACCCTATTATTATTGTTGTTATTATCATCGTTATTGTTATTATTATTATTATTGGTATTATTATTTATTCATTTTTCTTATTAACATTATAATTATTATATATTACCATTATTATTATTATTATTATCTTTATCATCATTACTGCTATTCTTATTCTTATTATTCTTATTATTTATATTATTATTATTATTATCATCACCATCATCATCATCATTATTATTAACATTTCATTTCATTTCATTCTATTTCATTTATCTTTTGGCAGGTATCAAACCAAACAAAACAATTATATCAACTGCAGAAAATATCAGGAATTACAAGATGAAAGACAGGGTAGATACCACCATTTCGTGGCTTCAGGATGACGACATTGATATAGCCTTCATATACTTCGATAACCCCGATGCATATTATCATGTCTATGGTATCGGCTCTGTAAATGGAACAGCTAAACTGTATGAGGTAATGAAGTGAAGATATATAACTTTATCAACCCATGGTTTACCTATGTTTGAATATTTATACTCAATAGTTATAATGACTCATCTATTGTAGGTGTCAAAACAACATTAGCCATGCTTATAAAATGATAAGAGGGAATAAGTTGAAAACAACAGACGCGCTCTCTCTCTCTCTCTCTCTCTCTCCCTCTTTCGACCAGGGGTTATACAACCAGTCATCTCAAAGCTGTCGAATAGCAGTGGCAACAGACTTTGGAAGAAATGATTTTAAAAAATAAGTGTTTCCCTTATTTTAAGTAGTAATTATACACAACAGTTAAACAAAAAACTGTTTACTTTCGTACTAGAGGTAGATGATGTTGTTAGGGAGATAACGCTTGAACCCGGTTGCGAAGATGTAGGCATTTTGTGACAACTTTCTCCCTTTCCACTTACCTGCACTTAGGTTGATGCTAATATCGGCTACCTGTTTGATCGCCTAGCTGAGACAGGTCTCGATCAGAACACCAATGTCATCATCGCCAGCGACCACGGCCACGTAAACGTTGAGACTGAGGACTACATCATCCTCAGTGATTACGTGGACATCGAAGCCGACGTTGATTTCCTGATCGCCGACTACGGCCCCATGTTCCAGTTGGTTCCAAAGAATACAACAGATGACAAAGTATGTTCTTGATACCACCGACACACATAAGATAGCACCATCCGACCAAAAACAGACCGATCTCAAATTTACATCACACCGAATGGTCACTTATCGGTCTGTTTGTAATCGGATTGAAAATCGTCAGAGGGTGTGACTGACTTATTGCGTTATAATTTGTTATGCAGATGAAAAAAGGGAATTTGGAATTGGAAGAAAGTAACGATTTAGAAGAGGAGGGGGAGAGAAAGAAGAGAAGGAGAAACATATAAGAAGAAGTAAAGGGAAAAGACGAATACGACGAAGAGAAAGAAGAGGTAGAAGAAGAAGAAGAAGAAGAAGAAGAAGAAGAAGAAGAAGAAGAAGAAGAAGAAGAAGAGGTAGAATAAGAAGGAGACGAAGAAGAAGAAGAAGAAGAAGAAGAAGAATAAGAAGAAGAAGAAGTAGAAGAAGAAGTTGATGAAGAAAAAATGTTAACTTTGGAGAACATGAAGCAAAGTAAAACAATACAATATAATAGGTATAAATAGATTACGATGAAGTGGAAGCTAGTAAAAGTAGAGAGAGAAGAAGAAGAAGAAAAGGCGATTCACAGTTAACTGAGAAAGGAGCAGACTATCCTCCATATCGACTGTAAAGATATCATTTTTTTCCTGCCCAGGTTTACAACGCACTCAAGAACGCTCATCCATCTTTGCACGTGTACAAGCGAGAGGATATGCCAGAAAGACTTCACTACCGAGATAATCTCCGTATATTACCTATCGTAGGATTCGTTGATCCAGGCTGGCATATGCACTCCAGGGTCAGTTCATTATGTACAGTCACAATTTGTTCTGTTTAACTTGCATTATGTTTCTCTTTTTAAGATATGTATTTCAATTTATTTTTGCATTTACTTATTTTAATATTATGTATTGTTATTGTTTAATTTTGTATTGTATCTGATTATTCATATGTATTTTAATGTACCATGCACGGGCATGCTGAAAAGAGCTATGTCAAGCTGAAAGCATGTTTTTTAATCACCGTATTTAAATAAATAAATAAACAAACAAACAAACATCTTTCTTATCGACCACCTCTCTATGCTATGAAGGCCACTCCATATAATGACTTTGTATATACTGTATCCATCTACGAGTAATATAAGGTTTATTTTGTAGAACATGTCTTTATAGTGACCACTTTTCATAAATTACTCATCTTTTTTTATGAGACTGTTTGAAGACAGCTCGACTTCGTTATGTAAGTGGTGTTTGTTTAAAAATATAGATAGCAATACAGTAGCGGGTCCTCAATTTTTCCTTCTTGGAGGGTTGCAAAATTTGTTTGATTTCATTTCGGCAGCTTCGAGATGAACTCGGAGAGCAGGGGGAGAGTAATTTCTACCGGGAGCAGTGGCGTACACAGGATATTTTCAACGGGGGTTTCAAATCGGGCCCAAACTTTCGCAACGACTCAGCCAGCCGCTGAATAAGCGGGTGGAGGGGGGGGGGGGGGGGGGGTAAGCGTACACTTTTTTTAAAAATTTGTTTAGAGTCCAAAAAAATCGCAACGACTCAGCCAGCCGCTGAATAAGCGGGGGGGGGGGGGTCTCGAAATTTTGTCCCGTTGGGGGGGGGGGGCGGGGGTTAGGTCATCTTTTTAAAGGTCAACCATTGGAAGAAAAAAAAATTGTTATTATTATTTTGTTTTATTTATTTATTTATTTTTTAAATCTCAAAAGGGGGGGGGGTCCCCAAAAACATACATAAAAAAAACTCAGGGGGGTTTAACCCCAACCCCCCCCCCCCCTTCGTACGCGCCTGACCGGGAGTACCTGTCACATGTCCGTATCCGGGAGGGCGGGGGGGGGGGGGTAAGAGAACACTTTTTTCCCTTTTTTTTTGGTCTCGAAATTTGAAAAATTGACATTTTGTCCCGTTGGGGGGGGGGGGTTAGGTCATCTTTTTTAGGTCAGCCATTGGCAAATTAAAAATCTCAAATGGGGGGGGGGGGAGTTTTCCAAAAAAACATACATAAAACATACACACAAAAAACTCAAGGGAGGGGTTAACCCCAAACCCCCTCCCCCCCCCCCCCCCCCCGTGCGTACGCGCCTCACCGGGACTACCTGTCACATGTCCGTATCCTACCCCAAGTCTCGATCAGCCACTTATTAATCAACCTAATGTTGATGTTGTCTTTATTACTAATGTTGTGGTACTGTTTCGCCATATAAATCCTAATACATGATAAAACAACCGGAATGTAGTTGATCGTACAAGTCGGAGATGGCAGTATTTATTTCCTATGTTGCTCTTGTTTTAAGCAATGCAAAGTCGATTTTTCTTTCATCGATGGGTCGCTCACAGTTTCTTTAATGCATTTATTGAAAAATCAAATACAAATATTCAAACAACATAGTAGTGTATAATATAAATGATTTTCATAAAATATGTGACAACTGAAATACATGTAATTGAGAACTTCAAATTATGGAGATAAATCAAAGAATAAAGATAGATTCAGAGGCCAACTATGCTTGAGTCGATATCAGCCGGGAAAGGAGGGGGGGGGGGGGATATTTTACGCTAATATATGAGTATGTAGGGGAATGGAGTGTTGCGTATGAAATAAACACTTGAGTGTGTCAGCATTTTCTACCCATTTAAACAACTCGAAAGTCTATATTCTAGGGTAAATTACGTCACCATCTGGGGAAATTATGCAGATGCTCTTTTGTGTGCCTAACCAAACTGGACATTCCATTCTTGAATCTCTCGTTTTAATAGATAAATTATTGAATTAATTTTTTTTCTTTGCCTCATCAAAGGATTTATTAAGTATACATGTTTTACATTCAAAGATACAATGATATAAATCAAAATTACATAATGACAAAACCATCATTATTGGCATAACAAAGAATTGAAATTAAGATTTGCTTTGCAAAGCATTTGAATCATCATCTGATAGTTTTGTCCCCCCCCCCCTTTTTTTTTTTTTTAAACAACACGTAAAATTGAAAAATATTATTCATCACCTTTTATTTCTTTTATCAGAGAGGACTGCACCCACTGGCAGACGTGGCCTCCGACCATGGGTATGACAATAAATGGAAGGACATGAAGTCATCCTTCTACGCCCAGGGACCCTACTTTAAGAAAAATTATCGTGCCCTTGCACTTGAATCTGTGAGTAGTATGACCTCAAACTGGTGGATGAGAGTAAAAAAAATATATCGGAAGTTGCTTATAGTGAAACTCGGCACTGAAGTGATAAACTTGTGTGTTTCAAAACCGTGATTCTGGGCTGAAAATTGGTGCGTACGCAGCCTTGAAAAATATTAAACATCAATCATCAATAATCATAGAGATGTGGTCCAGTGGTTTAAGCACTTGACTTGCAATTCAAAGGTCGTGGTTCGATCCTCGATACGTCACTAATGTCCTTTGGCAAGGCATTAATCTTTATTTGCCACACTCGACCCAGGTGAGGTAAATGGGTACCTGGCAGGAATTAATTCCTTGAAATGCTGGAGCGCCGCAATGGCAGCACAGCTAAAGCCGGGGGTAATGCGCCTCGGAATAGAATAGACGGCGCTAAAGAAATACCTATAATTATTATTATTATTATTATCTTCTTCCTTTTTCACTCTTTAAATTTATATGGGGTACGTTGGGGTGTAAGAAAATTGTGGAGGCAGGTCCCCTTAATTTATTTCGGCTATACGCCTCTATATTCTACAATATTATTTTTTTACATACTGCTAACATCATTGTAAAATTCGGTGAGAGGTAGGATCGACCATCTGGACTACAGGATGAACGTGATATAGGAGTCATGACCTATATAAAACAAAGGGCAGGCCCAACCTTTTGTCGACGGTAAACTTTTACATGATACAATAACATGTTACACCGTACCCCTCCTGTAGAAAGTTCTTAAATTTGTCCAAATCTCTCTATATACATGTCTATCATTAGAAGCACATGCCCACACACTCTCTCTCTCTCTCTCTTTCGCTCTCTCTCTCTCTCTCCTTTCCCCTCTCTCTCTCTCTCCTTCTCTCCTCCACCTTTCTCTCCTTCTCCCCGCCCCCTCCCTCTCCTTCCCCTCTCCCCCCCCCCCTCTCTCTCTCTCTCTCTATCTCTTTTCCCTCTTTTGCTCTCGTTGCCCTCATTCGGTAGATAGCACCTCCTTTAATAATTGTAATTGGAACAAAACTCTACTTATTTCTACGAATATTGTTTTGTTTTGTCCTTGTCTCCGGAAGATACAAAGTGTAAACAGGTGATGTCAACAGAAATTCCCCAAAGCCTATAATTATTTGATTAAAACCTGGTTGGACATTATTATAGCTCAGCATAGGGCTGCCAATGATATCTTTCGTTTAAGCCTGTTTAAAAATGTTGAATAACCAATTCTACGCGATTATGTCCTCGTTTGCACTTCCGAGTTGACTCACCGTCACCTGTTATCAAAGGGAACCTGGAATCATTTGATTTTGTGACGATATTCACAATTCACAAGTCTTTACATAGGCCTAAATCGACAAAATATTTTATACCCAGCTGACTAACAACTTTTATGGGGGCAGGGGGTTGTATTCCTTGACAAGGAGCATTGTCAGACCATTTTTAGTGGAAGGGGTGTCATTTTAAGCTTTCCGACAAGTGGGCCCTTACCAAAACTTTAAAAAGTCATCGATTTTTAGCTAGGAAAATAATTTGCCGATGGCAAATGTTAATGGGAGTTAAATCCCCAACCTAACTTCTTTGGCGAGCCCTTGTCCTAATTTTGGAACACAACAAAACAAAGGTTTGCCCAAAAGAAGGGCACTCGATGAATCCAAGCTTTGCTTTATATTTCTATCATATGCATTGTATAATCATGTACCATATATCGCAAGGTCATCATGCATTTTGTTCCCCCATTGCAGGTTGATTTATACAATCTCATGTGTGAGATTCTCGACATCGAACCAGCACCAAACAACGGATCACGTGACCGCTACGTCGATATGTTAGATTCGTCGACCTCGAAGCTGACGTCAGCGTCTTTGATGACCGTCATCCTGTTCATGCTTAGTACTATCATACTGTCTTTTAACTAGACTTTTAACAACATGTGTAGGGGCGTACTTAGACCATGTAGAGGGGTTGGAATAAATTTTCCTATGAACATAAAAATAGCATCTTTTTGCAATATACCGCTAATGTTCTAAAAGTCCCAAATTTACAGATTAAAAAAAAAATGAATTGGGGTTCCAACATCCTCCCCCCGATTCACACACACACACACACACACACATTCCCCTCATTCGACACTTCTTAGTATTTGCAACTTATTGCATCCGTTTATCACGTTTATACCGACAATATACTACATGCACGTACAGAGTGACTAATAACTTACAGGTTTCAAATTGTAAAGGATGAGTACAAAAGCAATTTATTGCAATATAAGAGTACGTCCATATTCTCTCTCATTTTCCATACTCTAATTTCAGTTTCTGACGATACTTTGGACTTTAAAACAAGCTGCAGGGCAAATAGATCATACAATTAAACAATTTATCTAAGGTAAAATAACAATTCGAATCAGTGTTTTAGGCAGCGAGATAACGAAGGAAACGCATGGTATGTAAACAAATTGAATATGTAGAAAAATGTAAATAAGTTAGGCAGGTCTCTTATATTTTTCACATGCAAAATTTTAAAAGACTAGTGTAGTTAAAATATAAAACAAAAAGCAGAATCTTATTCTTAAAATGATATTTACTCTAATTATTTCATACGTGATAAATTTGTTTTTTCAGGCTTGTATGAAATATCTTTTTAGATATTGATCTAAATAGTCGACTTTAATGAAAAATATAGATATAGCCTATATCAAAAGATTTAGAAAAAGATTTTTTTTTAATTTTGTTGAAACGGTATGGCAAATGTATCACCATGTCAAATAATGTGTTTTGCATTAATAAATCATATTGTATGATGTAGCCTACATAATAACATTCATTTGTATATAGCGCTTAATCATGTTAATATTACATTAAAATTGTTACATTCACCAGAGAGTGAAAATTTCAGCAGCATCTCGAGCCGATCATCTCCTCCTCTCCCCCCTCTCTCTCTCTCTCCCTCCATCACTCCCTCCCCCACCATCTCTTCCTCCATCTCATTCTCTATCTCTTACCCTTTCTCTCTTTGTATTCCCCCTTTTCTTTCTCGCAAGCTCACTGGCTCCCCTTCCGTATCTCTCTCTCCCCTCTCTCTCTCTCTCTCTCTTACTCACTTACTCTATTTTCCTCTCCCTGACCGCCGCCCCCCCCCCTCTCAACCATGTTGTAAAAAACAAAATTTGTATAAGACTTTGCCATTGTTTCTATCCATCACCAAATTAAAGAGAGAGGTTAATATGGATTAGACCTTTGAGGCCCATGGTTGACTTCACTGATGGATTCGAGCTGACCTCAAGTGAACTTTGGTAAGGCATATCCTTTTAACGCGAAACCTCTTCTGCCAAGAGCCAGAATGGCGCTAGGTGATAAGTTCTCAATAGATGACTTAATTTGTTTGAACTAGCTGTACTGACTTAATGTACCCCGATGAATGGATGTCAAGATTCCCCAATATATATTCTGCCATGTCTTTGTGAAGTCTGTGACCAATAACATACAGTAGGATATTGAAAAATGACAAGAATAATGTACATGTAATTAAATTAATCTACGCCCTTACAGTTCTCCCCAGCTCTTCCCCACCCTCCCGCCACTACATTTATACTTCATATAACAATTTTACTTTATGCTGTAATAAGCAGGAGCGGACTGGATTTTGGAGAGTTTGCTGGGGTTGAGCAAGGAGACCTTGAATCTCAAGGGTTTGCTAATAATATTGGCCGCTCTTTAATTTGACTCGAGGTCCAGTTGATTTTTGGTCTGCGGGCCAGTTAATAATTATGTTTAATATAGATTGAAGCACATTCGAAAAGACCCAACCAAATTTCAACTCCTGCCCGCCTCTGTTCATAAGTTTTTTGAATAAAGCATTGGATTTCGGCTGGATATTGCACATTAATAAAGGTATCATTGATAATCATGTCTTCATCATTACACACATGGTCGGATGACGAGTTTGTTTCCTGGTGCTCCGCGCTTGCCAAATGCTTCAAAAAGCCGGAACTCGATAGGCATCCGATGTTTATTATAAAAGAAAACGTTCGAACTATGAGGTTCGTAATAATGATAACTAATTGTCCGATTTAGTGGATCCTTTTCGAAGGGGTAAAAACCGAAGAGGGAAATTTCGTCGCAGAAAAGCGAAGCCACGGAGAAAGCTATCAGGCCTGTGGATGGATTCTTGTTTTTCCATAATCTGTAAAAAGAACGAAAATAAAAAGGAGATATCATCATTTTAAGGCAATGCCAAATGCAATTCATTTTCTTACGTATTGAAATAATAAGCAACGTGCTTCAAGAGAATTCGTTTTGAGATAATAGTCTTTAAATAATTATTGGTCACTAAAATCATTGCTTCGGTTAAATCTTTTTCCATGAAGAAATATGAATTCGACATATTCAGTATTCATGAAATGTAGAAGATGTTCTTCAGGAGGGGTGCCATGTTCTTAAATATGTTTGCATTAATACGCAGCATTCTCTCTCACTCGGTAATATCTTTTATACATTTCAATTTTTCGCCATCTCAATTTCATACCACCTTTTTTTCTGTATGAACTTAAAAAGATTTTTCAAAGTAAAATTTATCATCGTGGTTCGATTAGAGCAAAAAACTTACTTTTTGCAAATTCCCTGCATCACTATCGGACTGTATGCCCACTGAGGACCAAAATGGCGCCGGTTTCCATAGTGATTCCGAAAGAACTCTCCTGCCACAATGCCAAGTCTGTCTATGTATCCTCCTTTTGTGTACCATATCACCCCATCGCCTGCCTGATTCATCCGCTCATCCAGCTCGGCACAATCCTTCATGATGTCATCCGTTTGATTGCGCGCGCAACTCACTGCGAGCAACAACTGCTCCCAATTCATCGTCGTGATCGATACCTTCGATCCCACGTCGTCTGCGTAGATTCCGCCGCTCGGTGCGAGGTTCATGCGCAACACGAAGTCATGCGCGTCGATGCGCGATCCACATTTACTCTGGGAAAGTATTCCAGAGTTGCCGACGAGTGCACATCGTCGTGGCTGCCACTTAATCGTCTCTGACATCGTATCGTAGTTCGTTTGATGACGGTTTGATGCATTGATGTACTTGAAGTTCTTAGAATTTACATTCCGATGAAAAACCTGGATGGCATCTCGGAGTTCTACTACAGCTGACACCTTGTTTCTAGGGATGAAAACAAAAATACCACGAGTGTTTTTTTCTTGTCTAGATACAAATAGTGCTTTATCAAGCAGTTTTCGTACACACACAAATGTAAAACGTGATTAACGAAGGTTAACTTATTATTCATACCTGTGTAGCGGTTATATCATTTTATCTTGTAAAACAAAATCATCAATTGCTGCTGTATATGCTACTTTTTTAAATTGAAATGCGCGAGATAATTTTCTCTACCTTCTAAAGATATTTCATCAAATTTCTTTAAGTGCACAGGATTGTCTTTTTTGTAAATCATTTCTCACCTAATTCTGAGTATGGTTTTAGAAGTCGTTCCGCCCTCGCTCCTTCGAAACACTTTTTGTTCAGATCCATGCCCTGGCAAAAGAATAATCACAAAATTAAAGTGCACGCATTTTACTCAACAAATTGGTTTGAGAGACGGGTATCGACGGCAAAGCTTATAAAGAGAAGGTTGAGTTCTGGGAAGAGGTGAAAAATAATTTGTGAGCATTACTCATTCTTATTATGCAAGCGTGGAAGAACATCAGTTAAGACATGTTCCCTGAAAAGCATGGTTCTTCAAATGCCTTCATATTCTAAATATGCATTGTAAAAATCGGGGGGGGGCCGGCTTTTTACGCCACGTGTTCGTGTAGTCCCATATACATCTTTCTGTGCAAGTGTTTGTAACTTTACCAAGACTTGGCCAAATTTCTTATCATTTTGATGATTCCAGAACCTTGCAATACACACAAATTCTTATATGCTAGATGATCAACCTTTTTTGGTCGGTTCCACACCGTTTCTTTCACAATGCAATCGCATGACCAGAACTCAACTTCATCTTCAAAATTCGACGAGCCACAGAGATCCCCATTTCCTCATTAACGTATCTAAATGTTTTTGTACTGTGTTGTTTGTGAATGAAGCACATGTGCACCATAGCATCACAGGACTTCCCCGAAATAGATGACTAACTCTAGTGAAGTTTCAAACTTATCTCCCCTTCACTAATATTTGCGAAGAAATTGAGAGAGAAAGAGAGAGAGAGAGAGGGAGAGGGAGAGAGAGAGAGAGGGAGGGAGAGGGAGAGAGAGAGAGAGGGAGGGAGAGGGAGAGAGAGAGAGAGGGAGGGAGAGGGAGAGAGAGAGAGAGGGGGAGAGAGAGAGAGAGAGAGAGAGGGGGTAAAGGAGAGAAAGAGGTGGCACGGGCATGATGGCGACAAGAATGGGGAGGTAGGGTTCGAAGTGGGGCACGTTTATAATACACGAAAATGCACAATATTGAAGAAAGATGTATGGTGCACTATATACATCAATTCACATAGAATGCTTTGCAAGGAACTCACTTATTATCGTTTCGTTGTTGGCCTCTGTAATGAGCCCACCTTGTGTATAATCAAAATTGGTGCCTGGATCTGGAAAAAGACGAGATACACATCGAAATTCAATATGAATATGGAGCTGATGTAAACTGATAAGAATGAGGATAATAAAAAAAAATTGGAGTTCCAATAGTAATGCACTTTGATGGTATTAATTCACTGAGATACACGCGTCAAGGACACTAACATTAGTTTAACTAAAACTAGATTTTCGAGAGCAATTTGATGATCATTGACTTTCAAGAACAGCAAAGTTACAAGTCACCTATTCTATATGTAGGGTCTATGTGGATGTGTCGGGGTATAGTGGATCATTCGCTTGACTCTCAGTCTATGGGTTGGAGGTTCGAATCCCAGCCCGGCAGTAACATCATTTGGCAAGACATTAATTCACATTTGCCACTCTCTACCCAGGTGTAAATGAGAAAACCTGGCAATTACTGGAGTGCAGGCATCTCAGAAATAACAGCTGATGAGGCTTCCCTGGGTAAATATGTGAATGTGTATCATGTACTACTTGAAAATCTGACTGAAGAGAGGCTCAGTATAATACACTGCCCGGCACTGGGAAGCCAAATTAACCTTTTGAAAAACTTCCATTCCCTACAGTACGTGCTAGACATGTAGGCTATATAAAGCCAAAGTCCTAGGGATCAATTCAGAATTAAACCTGGAAAGGTCATGGCGAGTATACACAGATCCGAAAATAAACGTATACTTTATTCAAAATTAAATTACCCATTAATTTAGCTGTACGTCGGCCAGACGAGGGGAAAGAGGAGTAGAAATCGTTTGTGACGACAGCTTAATGATTGAATGATAAGTGTCGTGGGAATAGTAAAACTGTTTAATCGCTCAAAGTTAGTGCGACCAGACACTGTGTAAGAATGGATTGGAGGACTTTCCCCATGAGCATTAGGCAAATAATGATATATTCCAAGAAAACATGACAAAAAGTGAAGAAAACATAAAAAGAAAGAGTAATCCCAAAAGGATGACAATGGTAAGACAATGGCGTAGCGTAATCCCCCCAGTGAGGGAGCATAGCAGCGTTCGGGAGGGTGGAAGGGGAGGGGTTGGTCTTAGTCGAGGAATGAATTGCCAACTTGCAAGATTTCTGATTATTTAGGGGATTTTGAGAAGAGATCCAGGCGTCTTTTAATTCTTTTCTATTTACTTTTTCCCCCTTTCTCTCTTGTCTCGATAATTGTTTGTTATTTTTACATTTATAAGATCAAGGGCTGGCACGTGCCCCATGCACTTGATGGCACTGTGGGAACGGTTTGGAAGAAGGACAGAGATGCAGGACAGTTACAGTCTGTCTTGCGATGGTGTGATGAATTATTGTTTTAGAGGCAAAGAAGGAAATAGCGAAACACTTGACACTATCGTAAACAACCTGAACGATGAATTCGAAAACAAATCCTACATATTTGCATTCAAAGGCCATTTAAATTCCATGTGTATAGTCACTGGTCTTTGCTCAGGATTACGAGGCGAGGTGCGCCCCTATACCATAGAAATTTGAAATTATACAATATTCGGGCAACTGTTACTTAGCCATAGTGGGGAGCGAAATAGCAGTCTGGTTTCTTTTATGATTTTCATATCTTATCATGATTGTACAAGACGAAACAATTAGAATAATTTGCATGGATACACAATGCAACCAGTTCGCTCGAGAACAAAATAAAGGAATGAACCAAAAAACACGCCCTTCTGAGAGAAAAACCAGCTCGTATCTCTATGAATCAATAATTGGATCATTCTTTTCTCATCCTTAACGGTAAATGTTCAGATGTCTCATTGCATCCGTTCAGCCATTGCAGCCATTATAATAGCTTTTACAGCTTATCAACAAACAGTGAGACCAACATGATTCCTGTGAGACAGTGGGTCACATGATGTCATTGACCAGGAAAATATAATGTCAGAAGAAAGAATAGGGTTCGGAAATAAAGGACCTGGGGATGTTTCACGGGGATGACTCAAGATCAACTGAAGTTGGATTTGAACTATAATGGCAGACGATTTATGTCCTTAAAAAGTCTGGAACCAGATGTAAAATTAGGCGAACAAAGACTTTAAAATTATGATGTTTAGATAAAGTTTTTCCCTTAAATAATAAAGTTTACAGAAATGTGAGCTCAGTAGATTTGTGACATCCCTTGATAGACCAATGGTGAGAGCAATCAGTGGCATGAATGGCCTGCCATAGTTCATGTCGAACTTAAGTCGATCTGAGTCTTTGTAAAACACCCCCCCCCCCCCCAGGATCAACAAGAACGCAAGGTAAGAGAGGTAGAAGGCTTTTAAAAATATTGTTTTCCGTTGATATACACGCACAGTAAAAACTAGCCAGCAACCGTCCAAAAATGATACAGGTAAAATGACATGACGAGTAATTTGTTTTCCTCTTTATAAGTTGCATTGGAAACGAACGCGCGGTTTAGTGAGAGTAAATATGAAAATAGTGTGTAAAATATTAACATAAAAACATTTCAAGGAAAGGTTATTTGTCGTGAGATGTTGTTTACAGTTTTACAACGAGTCATGTACTATTTCGTTCGACTTATCATCACGTTGTAACCGAATAGGCTTTTTAAAGGTAAATGTGCGAAATACTGTAGATACTAGATATTTGGATATATAGATGGAAAGAAGGATAGATGAATAGATAAATAGATAAATTAATATAGATATGTAAATACATAAACAAATAAATCGAAGAATCAATAAATGAATACATACATAAAATGAATAAATAAACAACGACATAAATAAATGAATAAATGAATTAATAAAATAAATACAAACATACTAACACACAGACACACCCACTCAAGCATCCATACATAAAGAGTAACAAATAAAGTTGGGAGTATATTGACTATAAATCCCCAAAATGATACAACATGCACATTATGAAAGGAAATGAAATGTCCATCTGATCGTGACAATTTCGCTAGGGGAATCTTGTATCTAACCTAACCCCTGCATTCAGTTTGAAGTGAAGAAGCTTGATGACAGACTCATCACAAGTTCCGATCGAGAATTCGAGAATCTGTCTGATCATGTTCGAAAGCCAATCTTTAACGAGACATCCGATTCCTTATGTATCATATCAAATACTGATTTCGATTCCAATATGAGAAAACTATCCATCAAATTCTACCTATAGTTTTTCTCGGAGAGGTTGTCTTGATAATCAGGATATTCAGTATACCATGTTTCGATCAGTTTCAAAACCAATTATATTTGAAGGTTAATGAAGGTCCCATGGAAATTCGCCAGGACAGTGCGAGCAGAAGGTTTAGCTTTCACCTTATAGACATGATAGAATAAGATGTTACGATAAAGGCTGTTGGAATCCCCCCCCCCCCCATCAGTTGAATGATATCAGCACTTTGTTTACATATAAGAAATGGACATAGTAAATAATAGAACACTACCATGACTGATGTGATGTCTAAAATAGTATTTTATGTAAGATCTTCATGTTCAAATTATTCATAATTTCTTTGTTGATGAAGGTGTAAACTTTAAGACAAGATACAAGATCGATTCTCAATTAATTTCCATATTATATTATAGCAGAAATATGATTTCCATTGCTATAGCGTGCAATGTTTAATATAAAAACAAAACTTAGTACCGTGACCGTCTTATGTCGAGAGCAAAAATCGAATTAGCATTGTGTTAATGCAGATGGGTTATGTAGATGTATGACAACAGAATACAAATATCATTCTGATATAGATGTAGACGAAAGCAAAATCATTTTTCATCGAATTATCTTGCTTGATACTTCAAGAGGCCCAGGTCTGAAGATGCCTTGTCTTATCGAACATTAAGTGTGACAAAGGTGACATCGCCTTCCCTTAGAACAAAACGAGGACACATTTGCTGAACCTGGTGAAAATATGGTAAGATCATTACGACTCCAAGAAAAGCAATGTTCTCATTCTTCTTCACAATGTTCCTGAACTTTCTCTTGAACTCTGGGGGATTTCATCAAGGACGCCCTCAACATGATCAACCGCGCGACGAAAGACGATGTGATCCAAGCAGTAAATTGGATGTCACATTCGACATGCTTGGGAAACAAATTGTGTCTGATAAGATACAGAACAGGGGCGGATCTAGCTTTTTGCTAAGGGGGGGTTGACCAAAATAATGACGATGCAGAGCATCGTCCACGAGCCGCGAAGCGGCGAGCCGATTTTTTTTGGGGTGTTTATTTGAACCCCGTAAGTGATGTTTTCCTGGCATCTATTAACACAATGGAGACCATAAAAAGCAGTGCATGATAACGTCTTTTTAAATCAAGTAACAGTTAAATACACAGTTATATCCAGAGTTATCATGTGTTTGGTTAAGTTACCTGATGAGTTGAATATCTTCTCACAATATTTGCACTTGAAAGGGTTTCTCTCCAACGTGCGTTCTTTTTTCTTTCTTTTTTTCTTTCTTTTTTTCTTTTTTTTTCCCTTTTTTTTTTTTCTTTTTTTTTTGGGCCCCCCAAGGGGGGGGTTGCAACCATGGGTGTCGATCCCGGGGGGGATGGGGGGGATATATCCCCCCCAATATTTCAGGTGGGGGGGATGGCCTGTACAATCATCCCCCCCAATAATTCACCATAAAAAAAATATAAAAAAATGAAGAGAAAAATTAATGATGAGAGTCCGATGAGAGTAGTTAATGGTTATTACTCGCAAGATGACCATCAATATACACATTTTGCTATCTCATTTTTACAATACATACATATATACGAAGTAAATAAGACAACCGTATATGAGACAAGAATAAATTGAATTCTCGCTCATACGGCTTCATCAGGAATTGATGAATTTATTCAATTTGTTCAATCAACAGCATCATAGAAATGCAGTGCGCCAAATGCAAAGACGCAGCATCAAAAGCAACGAGCTAAATGTTAAGTGTGAAGCACAAAAGTAGCAATCTGCAATGCACATCAGACAATCCTGGACGGTGTAAACATAGATGAACTCTGTGACGATTTCGTGATGAGATCGGAGACAAGGAGAAAGATTTTCGGACATTAGTATGACTTATAAAATAGTTCACTAGTTGTTATGTTGTTTCCGTTCACCCTTTTTAAAATTCACGTCATTGTATCTTTATTTTTATTTTTTTCACTCATTTTATTTCCTGATATT